GTTTTATTTTAATAAGATGGGAAATACTTGAGCATATTTGTAGGCTGACAGTAATAAACCGGAAAAGCAGGAAAACAGAGGATGCAAGAAAGAGACTATAATAGCAGGAGGGTGGTCTTTCGGGGGTGACTGGAGATGGGCCAGGGCGTGGCAGGAGCAGGTGACTTCATCCACTGGGAGAGGGGAGGCTCAAGACGTGCATTTCCCTGGACGCTTTAGAAGCAGGGAGGACGCAGAGTTCTTCTGCTCAATGAAAGATCACAGACTAAGGGGGTGGCTATGTGTGTGTGTGCATGTGTGGAGGGGTGGTTGCCTACATGAGGGAAGAGGAGAATTAAAAAGTAGATGTTTTGGAGTGTGGGAGGGTGAACATTCTTAAAATGATTGTCTGGTAGTGTTGAGGCTTCCTTTGAGATCTGTGGTGATGAATTTCTGGTGAGATCAGTCAGCCTAGCAAGGAGGTGACAGCAAAGTCAGTAAGACACACTCCCTTCTACCTAGAAACCACAACCTAGTGGGGGAAGTGGAGGAAAATAAATATTTGCATTAAAGCATGGACGTTCCTGACGGCACACAGTTGTGCTCAATATTTGCTGGTGAGTGAATGAAAAGAAACAATGATTTTGGAGGAGGCCTGGGGAAGTGAGGGTAAGAGTATTGAAGATTTGGTCTTGAATGGGAGGTGGGTGCAGACTAAATAGGCCAGGGGTGTGGTCAGGGTGGGACACAGAAGTGAAAAGGAGACTTCAAGATGCATGGGGCTCAAAGGTCAAGTACAGCGAGAGCAGGGAACTAGGTTGGAGACCAGGTGTGTAAACTGAGTGTAAATTGAGAGGGACAGGAGTTGTGAAGTGTGTCCACAAGTAGACATGATATGAAGGACACTGGAGCTGAAGAGACGAGACACGGTTTGCCCATGGGAGACAGAAACCAGTGAAGGTGGTGGTAGGATTTTTGTCTTGAGAGGAAAGATGAAACGTTCCTCACGGGCCTCCAGTTTCTGGTGGATTGGAAGCTCCATGAGGACAGCAAGTCTGTTTGGTTCACTGCTGTCACCCCAGTCCTTACACCAGCACCGGACACATAGCAAGCACTCAGTGAATATCCTCTGAATGAACAAACAGTGCGCTGAGCTGAGGAGGGCGGGGGTCCTCTCACTGATACACATGGGAATACTGAATAAAATGCATCCACTTAAAACCATACAAAGCTAAGACAAAAGTAAAGGAACGGGAATCTCCAGATTCCAAAATGAAGAGGGAAATCAACCCAGGATGTAACGGGGAGCTGGAGCTAAAGCTGCTCTTGGGGTTTTGGCACTATATAGATTTGATGGCCTGAGACCTGGGGCTTGGGGTATAGGGTTCTGTGTCCACACAAGGATAGCAGATATGGCCCTGGAGCTGCAGGAGGTGGGAAGGCTAAAACTGAGACCTCAGATTAAGCCTAGAACCTTGGAGAGCTGCCTCACCTATGAATGGAGGCCAGGATCAAGCACTTGCTACCCCGGGAAGGAGACGGAGGCTGAAACCAGACCTGTGCCACATGCACGGATTTTACTACTTTAAAGGGGCAGAAACTTCAAGGTGGGAGATTAACACAGAAATGGATCCACTTAGACATTGAGGGTCCCAGTGGAAGTAAACAAAAAGCATGCAGAAACTCTTACAGAGAATCACACTTCTAGTATAATCTATCACCACTGAAGGTGAGCTCACACACACACACACACACACACACACACACACACACACAAATCCCTCATAAACCACACAAGAAAATGAACCTCCATTTCTTGTGGAGGAAGAAGCGTAACAAAAAGGAGTAGTAGAAACCCAATATTAGGAAACAGTAAAAGAGTATGAATAGGACTATAATTTAAGTAGCTGTAAAATGATTAAAAAGATAAAGTATCAAAAACATAATGAACATAAAAGTCAGTAGAAAAAAACAGATTTGAAGATGCACTAAACAATTGTTTTCTGGAAGTGGAAAATACAGTAACTAAACAAAAGTATCTAACATTTCAGTTTTATAAAAGGCTAGATGCAGAGAAGGAGAGATTCGGAATACAGTGTGAGGAAATAATCCATCACGGGGCACTGAGATAAAGGGGTGAGTATGAAACAGCAGTCTGAGACACAGCATGGAGAAGGCCCACACCTGTCTGAGAGGAGCACCGTGGCAGGGTACCAAGGACGGTGCCGAGGAAGAGAGTATCTGCAGAGTGCACACTATGTCCAGGCATTCACATCTATTATCTCAGCAAATCTGCACAACGACCCAGTGAGGGAGACTCGGTGATCACCACCATTGGACAGCAGAGGAAACTGAGTCATGTAGTGAGAACAGAGAACCTGGGAGAGAGGCAACATTCAGAGAGATAACAGATGATAATTTGCAGAGTTGATGATGGGCTCTAGATTGAAGGAACTCTTAAAAAAACAAATAACAGGCTCAAGGGGGAGTCATTTACCCCCAGGAAGCAAACCAAGACTTAACTGCAGTTTCAGCCTCTCCCAGGGAGGTGACCTTACACTGTTCAGTCCAGAAATTCCTGACCAGCGCTGGCGAGGTCATCTGCCCAATAAGACCCCTGCACCTTCCCCCAGAGAAAGGGGGCCCTTCCTGGAACAATCTTTCTTCTCCTTTGCTGACAACTTCCTTGTCCCACCCAGTTTCTGCCTCTAAATACTTCCACTTTGTACAACTCCCCAGAGGCCTTACTTTTTATTTACTAGATGGGATGCTCCTCGATTCACAAATCACTGAATAAAGCTAATTAGATTTTTAAATTTATGAGTTGAATTTTTGTTCATTAACAGATTACATCAAGTCCTGAAGAGAATAAAAACCCTCAATTCCCTGGTAGATGAGGAAAATCACTGGAGGTCAGAGGTTGCCAGAGATGGCCTAGGGACCAAAGCAGGAATTGTCACTGAGAGCAGAGTTTGGCGGTGACCCTGGGGAGGAGCGAGGAGAAGGAAGTCACAACTTCCTGACCCCCATGTCCTCCCAGATCGGGACTGAGCCGCTTGTCCTAAGCAGGACAGAGAGGAAGGCCCACCCTTCAGGCCCAAGGTTTACTGATATCGGCGTTAGATCTCGTGATGTTTAAGAACATGTTTGGCAGGGTATGTACGAAAGCCATGCTTGACTAGAGCCAGCCAGTCAGCAGGCTGACCCCATCGCCACGTCCTACCTCTCTTTCTTGAACCGCAGGAGACCACGTTTCCATCAGGAGGACGGCCACTGAGTGCCAGGTGCCACGCCAGGCATCCCCCAACCAGCCCTGGGGTCCCCTTATCACCCAAGGCAGCCCTGCCTTGCCTCCCCTCCTCCAGGGCGGCACCTGCCTCAGCTCCCCAGAGCACATTTCCCAAGCCCCCAGCCGGCCTCCCACACGGCCGACATGCCCTGTAATGGGGGAGGGTTCGCAGCATCAGAGCTTTCTCTGCTCAGCCTACACGAGTGGCTTTAACCTGGACCAGTCTGGATTTGCTCCCCGATCACTGGACACCAATATCCCTCCTGTGGAATGACTCGGCACCAAACCGGATCCCACTTCACGGGGATGAGAAGGGAGAGGAAGGGCAAGGAGGATTTCATGTCTACTTCTACACCCAAGATACAGGCAGCCAAAGTGGAATGCTTCCATCACGGACTTCGATCCTCCAAGCCATTCTGGCCCTTTCTGCCACGGTCACTGCACCCTCCACGGGGTACAGATGGTCTTGGGACCCCCACAGACTCCTGATTTCCACCTCACCCTCACTGACTGCTAAAGGTACAGCACGTTACGGTGGGGAAAGACCAGAGTCCTCAGCTGTCAAACGCTTCATTAAGCCAGGCTGAGCCGGCCAGGGAGTGAGAAAAAACAAGAACGGGAGTGTCTTTCAGTCCCTTCAAGCATTTTCTGACAAGTTTCTGTCAGTCATCAGTTGTTTTCTCTCCTGCACTCTGCCCACCGGGTCACTGCAACACGCGTGTCTTCAAGGCCCAGTGCGCTTCCGCAAGGCTGTTCTTACACACCCCTGCTCGGGAAGCACGGCGGCCTCTGCTGCTGAAGAACCACCAATTAAACAACCTCTTATTTCAAGAGCCAGGACTCACGACTGCTGAACAGGAGATTTCCCCAAAGACAGCGGCTCGCCTCCAAGTGGCTGTGCGGAGGACATCTCTGCGGTTAGCAAGGAGCACTCATCAATAAGCCGCCCCTTAACAGTTAATTATCTGTAATGGGGAGTGCCGTGAAATCTAGAATTTCAAATGCGATAGCACAGATTGGTTTCAGTCCACGCTGACTTATGAGTGGCAACATACCACTCCTGGGAGGAATTACGTCCGTTGTTCTGAGAACAATTCATTAAATTGCCTGAGGTTGGGAACACAGGCATCAGCCAGGGTTCCCGGAGGTGAGCGCCATCAGCTTTAATTGCTGATGGAGTGTCTGGTCAAGTACCTCTTTCTGATACCAGCACAGCAATGTTAGGACATGACTGCTGTTTGATAGATTCTAAATTATATTACGCAGGCATTCATTCTCTGATATGGCCCTTACCCAAATATGTGTCTTTAAATAAGGAAGACAGAAGTAGGCCCCACCGAATCCCGGAGGAAAGAACAATTTCTCTTGGCTTTCTCAGGTCCACAAATTTAGCAATAACGAAACACTGAAGGAGGAAGTACACATTTTCTGAAGGTTTCTCTGTTTTTCTCATCCACAACTGCTTTTTCTTGAGGAGACACCAAATTATGATAACAAAGGAAACCAAAAGCAGCGTCAAGTTAGCCATCCACAGGGGTCAGCACCCTCAGTCAGTGAGGGCTGCTGTGCGCCACCCAGCAGGTCCCCCCACAGTCAGCACAACCTCCAACCTCGTCGGACCGACCCACACTCCGCTCACCGCCCCCCGCCTCCGCTCACCAGGCCTCCACCCAGAGACGAGACCAAGGCCGCGATCGAGCGCATCTGAGAGGGCAGCCCCTCAGTTACTCACCGACCCGACTCCGGTTTGAAGGATTTTCAGTCCAGATGTTTTTTCCAAGTTGTCCTTGTTTTCAACTGTTAGGAAAAATTAAGAAACAGAGGCATCAGCTTGGAGAGGTAACATTCTCAACACAGCCTGAGCATTTTGCTCTATTGAAAAATTCCGTTACACCACTGCTCGGACAGCCTAATAACTGCAGTGTGTGAACCTGCCTGGAGCTGGAAAACCTGAGCGAGGGACCCCATTTCCTACTCAGGAGCTGATGTGCTGGGCCAGCCTGCCCGTGCGCCTTCCGCTTCATCTACACAGAGTCATCATGGGAAGTCCTCAGAATTGCTGTCATCACTGGATGGGAGATTGTTCGAATGCATGCTTTGCAAACTGTCAAGTTTTATTTTAGAATAGGATGGCTATTAATTACGTAATCGTTGGGAAATATGCCCCGTTAGCTAGACTTCTGGTTCACAGGGAAGACTCCCTGAAAGGCCCGACTGCGCGTGTGCACTCACTCCGAGACGGCTGGGAGCCGCTCTAGTCCCTCTTACTGTGCCCCGTGAGAAACAGTCCATATTAATTCAGCTCCAACACGAGCTTCACCCTAATTTGCTCCTGACTTAGAACAAGGAAGACTTTCAGAGCATGAGTTACCCTCCACATCAGACCAAGAGAAATGAGCCCTGGAGACAGTTAGCAGACACAAATGAAAACCCAGGAATCCTGATGCTAACACCGAAAGCCCACCTGCCCTCCTTGGTCGGGAGGAAGCTGGATCACAAAGCAATTGACCTTGGCTTACGATTCTGCAGAAATATTCTTTTGGATAAAGCCATCATTTTGGAAATGAAAACCAGAAAAAATAGAATTTTACTGCAAGCCCTAAGAATGAAGAGTGCACTGTGCTTGTGATTAATGCAGAATGAGGGAGCAAGCAGACAGCAATTACTTTCACCTCTTCTTGTAACACACGTACGTGAATCTGGGTAATGAAATCGCGTCTCTTAGAGTGATACAAATGAGACCCACAGCAGATGGCACTCCCCACCCTGCAGGCCTCTTCATTGTCTTGTGGAAAGTTTTCCCTTTGAACAAGTGAACATTGCTTTTTACATTTGGGTGATTATCCACGCACTCAGAGAGGAAGGCGGCACCGTCTGGGTGGAGTGATGGTGCCTCCAGACACTTTAAGCTGAGGTAGCAGAGGGAGGCAGGGGGCCGTGGCCCAAAGTAAACCTGGACTGGAAGAGAACGTTCTGTAAGAGACAGAGCATGAAGCAGCCGATTTTACTGTTCTGCAAACAAGGGAAACATTTACTGAACGGCAAGCTGCTTTTGGGGGAATAATAGTTACTGAACTCTTAAATAGGCTGAGAAACAGAAAGTACATAAAAGTGGAATTTAAAGAGCACTCCACCTTTTGCTGCAAAGCAGTAACAGATATTTCAGCCTCAGGGATGGAAACACCAGCCCAACAATAACACTGGAGATGGTGCAATCCAAGGATCAGCCAGCGTCCAGCAGGGCCCGGCGGCAGGCACTGCAGGCTGGACCTGCCAAAGAGACCACCTGCCCCGCAGTGTGAAGGCAGCAGGATGAGACTTAAGGGAACAGGGAGTGGTCCTGGCTGTGTCAACACAACCTCGTCTACGAAGCAGGTGGTGGCCCCATGCGACCCGCCGTCAGAGCTGGTCCATCTCCACCATGTGCAGAAGGCCAGACACTGCTGGTTCTTGCCTAGACTCCTTCCCTGGCTCACCTGTCTGCAGACTCCTCAACAGGGCTTCCAAGCCCTTCTCTCAGCTCTCCCGCAGACACACAGCCCTGCCCAGCCAGTCTCCGAGGTCCAGGCTGGTCTCCTTGCCCCAGGCCCTCAGGCAGGCCCTTTCCCCTGCCAGAAACACATCATCGACCTTCTCAGCTCGGTGACAACACGATCATCTTGCAAGCAGCCTGAACTGCCCTGCGCTGGGAGGCCTTCCTGGCACCACCCGCCCCTGGAGCCTGCAGCAAGGACACGTCTTCGCATCTTACAGCTTTGCTGTGTGGGCTCACCACACCCCTAGGCAACCTCGCACTGTGGTGTTGTCACTCCTACGTGTGGACGCCGTCAGGATGCTCATATAAAGTCACCAAGTGGAGTTGGGGAGAGATGCACGGTGGTACCACACCATTATCCGGGGTTTCCACCACATAGATACGGCGAGAATCTCATGGGCATAGACGATAGTAAAATGTATTAAACAAATCGCGCAATGATGAGTTGGGGATCTAGTCCTTTTTTGTTTTTTTAACATAATTTAACTGTAAGTATGTAGAATTTAATTTTTTATAATGGCATAATGTGAAATTTTAATTTCACAAAATTCCTGAAAGAGTAAAAATGAGCTCCAGTGAGCTGGTACGAACTGGCTCCAGCCCCACCGGTATAATACGTTGTTTATACCCAAACTTTAGGTCTTAAAACATCATATTTCCTTGATTCTAAAAGGTGCATTTCCCCTACATCTTAACGCGTCTACAGTTGGGCCTGACAGAGTCACTGCACTGCGTGCAAACCTGGCCTACTGAACAGTCGCCTGCCGCCACCACTGGACGGCCTTGAAAGAATATGCGTCTCCTTTCTATCAGAAAATTCTCCACTGGCACCTTCTGACAAGCTCCAGAAACTTCTAGAAGGGGTGTCGGCTGGTTGGATGAGATACTGCTTGGAAGATCATCTCATAGACTCTTTAAGAGATACTGGAGCTAGCCTGGTGGTGCAGTGGTGAAGTTCACACCCTCAGCTTCGGCAGCCTGGGGTTCGCTGGTTTGGATCCTGGGCACAGACCTACACACTGCTCATCAAGCCATGCTGTGGCAGCATCCCACATACAAAACAGAGGAAGATTGGCACAGATGTTAGCTCAGGGACAATCTTCCTCACCTAAGATAAATGAATAAATGCTCCTGATGACCCGGCAATGCTGTCGTGTGGAAAACCCACAGGTGTCGTGTAGGAATATGACACTCTGAACGTGGAAGCCAGAACACTCCTCTGACACACGCGCAGCAGCAACTTTGACGACTGAGCCTGAAAGATTGATTCAATAAGCAGAAAGTAAGTCCAACTGATTAGAAAGCACTATGTTACAGTTTAATTGGTGGTGTCTTTGCTTTTTAGTGGTTCATAGAACAACGTAAAGGCCTGGAGTCCATGAGATATGGCGCTGTGCCGTGGCTGGTCCCTCACACATCTGCCTGAGCCCGCGTGGAGGGCACAGGCGCCAGTTCATCTTTGCTCCTCAGGGCCCAGCACGAGGCGAGCTCTCTTTCCAGGAAACACAGCAACTCCAACAGCCCAGCCAGCTGCTCAGCTGCTCTCAAGGCTGCCTCGACTGCTTAAAAGTTAGTTTAGTCAGTTCAAAACCACCAGCAATTGGGGCAAACCACCCAAACTGTGTAAACGAGGGCTGTCTCTGAAGCTGTAAAGGGCTTCACAGAGCACAGGGACCGGTTCCTCCTTCTGAACCAACCCAAGGCCAAAGTGCCAGTCAAATCCCAACCACAAAGTAAACAATGAAAACACCCATAACTCGGCCACATGCAGCACCGAGCCAGGCCGGCACGCACACTGGGCCTCCCTTCATCCCTGGAAACGCCCAGGGAGTAGACTGTGTTGCCTCCATCTTAGAAATGGGAAAACTGAGGAGACACAGGGTGTGGCACTGTCGAGAGCCAGAGGCAAATCCATCTCGTCCTAAACTCCAGGTCTGAACCGCAGGATTCACAGCCGCTCTGTCTCCGAGGGGCCGCAGTCAGCTGGGGCTCTGCCACAAACACCACGCACCGCGGCTTAAGTGGCAGACGTCGACTTCCCACAGCTCTGGAGGCTGACGCCCGGGGTGAGATCGAGGTGCCGGCAGGGCTGGTGTCTGGGGAGGACCCTCTTCCTGGACGCACACAGCTGCCCTCTCTCTGTGTGGAGAGAGGTCTTCCTCTCCCTCTTCCTGTGATGCCACGGGTCTTAGGGGATTAGGGCCCCACCCTTAGGACTTCATATACCCTTAATTAACCCCCAACCCCCAAACACAGTCACTCTGGGGTAGGGATTCAGCATACAAATTTGCAGGACATGGTCTGGCCCACAGCCCAAGGCCAATGCTAATTGCGACGAGGACACCACCAGGCTGGCCTTGCTCGGGGTCAGTGTCCTGCAAGTGGGTCTAGGCAGGAAACCCAGGGAATTCTGAGACTCGAACCTGATGAAAAGAGCTGAGGGGAAAATGGCTTGTCACCAAGAACTGAATGAAGCACTCGAGGGAATTATCCACCAGAAGACACAGGGCAGTGATCTGAGGCCACAGAGAGCCCTGGCCCCAGCGGACTCGCCACGTCGAGGCGGAGCGAGCCAGGGGTGAGCTGTATGGGGCGAGCCCTGGTCCAACCCCTGGTAACGGTTTCTCCTCACCTTTCTGCGGGATGGCCTGCAATGAGGCCCTGGCTCCACTTCCTTCGTGTGATGGATGGCTGTACAGAGGGGAGAGTTGCGTGCTTTCCTCCCCATGCCAGCCAATCCTAGGCTCCCGCAGCCCCGGAACCTCACCATCCACTCTCCCTTCCCCGTGCTCTGTGGCCACCAATGGCACGTCCTGAGGACCCACCGTCCTGTAAGCCCATTTCTCTGTCTGCTCCGTAGCCTCTGTGCTTCCCTGAGTCCCTGCAGGTGCTCACTGCTGGCACCCTTTGTTTTGCCAATTAATTACTCATTTTACCCTTAGAATGACACGAAATCCATGGAGAGCTGCCGCTTCCCAAACTTTGCATGGATAGCAGAGTCTGCCTCCTCTTATCCAATAAAATTTTCCCATTTTATCCTTTAAAGTCCTGGGCAAAACCTGTTCCCAAGACATTTTCTCTTAAAAGTGGAGACTGGCACACAGCCACACATGCACATAATGCCTAGTGACCTTCAGCTCCTCGCTGGCCATCATTCCTCTCATCTGCAGGGGGGAGTTCCTCACAGAGCTGAACAGAACAAGGTATCTGCAGTTAGGACGGCCAGCCTGTGTCCTGAGCTCGTTACTGAACTGCACCCTGCCTCAGTTTCCCTTATGAGACCTGGGCACTCCGATGCCCACTTGACAAGTGGCTGCGGGACTGTGTGGAGCCTCTGTGCCGTGCACACATGGGGCTCGGCGCGCGGCAGTGGTTCCTCAGCTGTTTCTCTGGGTCCGTGTGGCAGCCTGGCCAGAGGCCATTCACAGGAGGAGGACAGCATCTGCCTGCTCGCTGCTCTGCAGTGCCCATCATCTCTCATCCCCAGTGCTGCCATTTGTCGATCGATGCTTCTGTTTTCGTTTCAGAGGCTGAACATCAGCTCAAGTGTCCCTCGCGACCTTGTTTAGACAACTCAGGTTACATCTTCCTCCTGCAACAGTCACATGTCGCAGGAACTTCCAAGTTGAGCTCCGCCTGCTCTCAGAGCCACGCGGGACGGGACGGGCCCTTCTCTCTTCTGCACAAGGGGAGCCAGGAGAGGCCCTGCTTTCTCCTCTCTCAGGACAGCCTGCTCCTTCCCCTCTCCTCGCAGCAGTGGGTTTAGACCCCTCCACCTGGGCACTTGTAAAAATGTTGTTTCCTGCCCGTCTAGGCCTTCAAATCAGAAACTCTGGAGGTGCTTCTGGTCATGTCCATTCCTAAAAGCGTGCCTCCATCTCCCACCACCAGCTACTTTCAGGATTAGCCAGACGGAAGCATGGTTGAATGAGAGAATTACCTCTCCCCCTGCACCCATTCATCCACGCACTTGTTCAGACACTCCCTGTGCCAGGCGCTCGGCCTTGTGAGGAATGAGACAAGCCTTCTCGACCTGACATCCTAACGGGGGCCATGATAGCAGCTGCGTCTGTCTGAGGTGGTCAGGTGAGGTCTGTCAGGTGAGGGGCGCCAGTGGCTGGAAGGGTGTGTGTGCAGGCATGCAGCTCTCTGTGTCCAACATGCATCTGAAAGAGGGCCACCAGATATGACCGTGTCACTTGGATGTGGTCTGGCCAGCATCAGCACAGAGGGGTCATTGTCACTCAGAGTCTTGCTGGCAAAGTCCCCCAGGAGTATGTCACCTATTCTGCAGGTGTGATGGATGGAACACGGCAGGTGGACCATCACTGTCAGCCTGAGTCAGGACATCACATCTGTCTCTGTTACAATTCACTTTGCAATGTCTGGTACATCCTTCCATCCCATAGACTCTTCACCCAGAATGCAGATGTTAACCAGCTCTCCCGTTATTTTCCTCCAAAAATGCACACACATAAAGATGACTAGGACAGACCCAGGACAGGTGCCCTGCGGTGTGGACCAGTAACTGTCTTTCAGATTTATACTAACCCACAGATTATGTTCTTTAGTTGTGGTTGTTCAACAAGCGATGAATCTACCCCAAAATACGTCACTTTGCCCTCATTTCTTCACATTCTCCACAGGACATCACAGCAGTTGGGGTCTTGGTGAGGCAGTCCCAGCTACAGGGTTCCCCTTGGGTACCACCATGGGGCTCTTCCACAAAGGAAATGGAGACCGTTTGCCACAACGCTTCCCGGAGAGCCCTTCTGAGATGTGCGCAGCATCTGCTCATAGCTCCTTCCAGAATCCTGCCAGCCAGCCGCACCCAACGCCGTGGTTCACTTCAAGTCACAACTCAGTCACGGTCTTGAACGCCGGCACGCCCTGAGAAGGCGCAGGGAAGTGGGGGCACTGTGAGAACCCAGATTCCAGAAGCCCCGGCTTCCCTCTCTGCCTGAGGAACCTCCTGGGAGATGGCGGACAGTTTCCTGCCACGTCCGCGAGCTCCCCTGGTGGCTGCGGCGTCTGGGGACGTCAGGCGCTCTGTGCTCCTTTTCCACCTTTCTGTCAGTCTCGGGGCCAATTCCTGTCCAACAACACCTGTCTCTCTCTTTATTTTATTTAATGTTTTTGTTTTTGCAATTTCTCATTGGTGGCGATGGAAAAATGGAGAAGCTGTGGAATCTTGCTTTTTCTCTAGCACATGTAAAAGGTACACAATTTATTCTAAGCAAGCCTTCTGGGTTTTTTAGGTCAAATATGCCTAAAAGAGAAACAAGCCTCGTAGTCCTCAGCCTGCTTTGTGATTTTCAGGCCACTCGGGACACCCTTCCCAATGCCGTTCTTACACATTGATCATTTTACAGTACTTCCTCCGAGGGCTCCCTACACGACCACATGGCTTTCTATCAGACACCCTTCTGCTGAACGGAATTGCGACAGAAATAGTCTCTCCACATTCGTAGGCTGCACCCCACACACAGGCGTGATTTCCTCCATCAGGCCTCAGACTGCCTCTGAGCAGGCAGGACAGGGCGCCTCTCCCACGGGCGTGTCCCCGTGCACACACTACTCTTTCTCAGGAAGCACTGTGCGAGTGCAGGGTCACCATCAGCCTTTCTGTGAACTCCACAAGGACATGGCCACTTTTTCTGTCTTTGCTGAGGCATTTTGGGGGTAAAGCAGGAGCCTTGCTTCTGCCAAACATTCTGTCAAATGTCAGTTCTGAGTTATTTTTATGGCCCAGCGTGGATTCTGAGCTGGTGGTTATGGGCTGGCCGGCAGGCCAGGATGCGGAGACCCTGGGAGGAGCTGCTTTAATAAAGGAGAGAACGATGCATAAAGCCCATTTTTATCTTCACGGGAGACAAAAAGGGTTTCCAAACACAAAAGAGAAGTCCTTTAAAATTAAATTCGCTAGATGAAGGATATGCAAATTACCTGGAGAAGCAGAACTCTACAATGTTCTCAAAATTCTGCAATAGCCTCTTTAATTAGTATTTTAATTTATCAGAATAATTCTTTGCACTTGACAATTTAGGCAGTATCCCATATAATTAAGCACGTAGCTACAGTGGAATAATTTTGCCTCTCTCTTGATCCCCGTTATTTTAACCTGAAAGGATGTGCAGAAATCTCCTCTGCGATCTACATTGCAATGGGATAACTTAATGGCTGTGCTCCATTAGAAAACAGGAGGTGAGGTGGCACCAGGGGGCCCGACTTGCTTTAGGGAAGGTTACGGCCCTG